CTGTGGTAACCTACGGATGTGAGAGCTGGACCTTAGGGAAGGCTGAGCGAAGGAAGAGAGATGTTTTTGAGCTGTGGTGTTGGAGGAAAGTTCTGAGAGTGCCTTGGACTGCAAGAAGATCCAACCAGTCCATCCAGGAAATAAAGCCCGACTGCTCATTGGAGGGAAGGATAGTAGAGACAAAGATGAAGTACTTTGGCCACATCATGAGAAGAAAGGAAAGTTTAGAGAAGAGAATGATGCTGGGGAAAACTGAAGGAAAAAGGAAGAGGGGCCGACCAAGGGCAAGATGGATGGATGGCATCCTTGAAGTGACTGGACTGACCTTGAAGGAGCTGGGGGTGGTGACAGCCGACAGGGAGCTCTGGCGTGGGCTGGTCCATGAGGTCACGAAGAGTCGGAGACGACTGAACGAATGAACAACAACAACAAAATCATCATTTGAAACTCTATACCCCACCGTTTCAAGGGACAAGGGTTTAATTTGTGGCTGCAGAGATAACAGCGATTTCGAATTGGGTCCCTCTTTTTGAAACACTCAGCACTGTATATGATGTTGTGTTAAAAAAAGGGGGCCTTCTCTGTGGTGGCCCCTCAGCTGTGGAACTCCCTGCCTAGGGATATTAGATCAGCCCCTTCCCTCCTGGCCTTTCGAAAAAGAGTGAGCAAGCGTTTGGAACCACAGCATGACCAAAAACTCAAATTGGAAATGAACTAGGGAACAACTAAGACGATGGAACAGTTGAGGTTTTGAACAAGAAGACAGTTTATATAATTTTTATTATTCATTGTTTTTATGGGTTTTAAATGTATTGTGATGTTTTGCTTTTACCGATGTGTGTATTTTTTATATATTGCATCTAATTGTTGCCGACTTGTACTCCGCCCTGAGTCACCCTCGGGCTGATATAGGCGGGATACAAATATCATAAATAAATAAATATTTATATACTGCTCTTGGAGGCCCCAGTGGTGCAGCAGGTTAAACCGCTGAGTTGTTGAACTTGCTGACCGAAAGGTCAGTGGTTCGAATCCAGGGAGCGGGATGATCTCCCAGTGTTAGCCCCAGCTTCTGCCAACCTAGCAGTTCGAAAACATGCAAGTGTGAGTAGATCAATAGGTACCGCCCTGGCTGGAAGGTAACAGCGCTCCATGCAGTAATACTGACCACATGACCTTGGAGACTTCTACAGACAACACCAGCTCATTGGTGTAGGAATAGAGATGATCACCACCCCCCAGAGACGGACACGAATAGGCTAAATGTCAAGAGGAAACCTTTACTTTTTTTTTTATCCCACCCTATCTCCCCATGGGGTATACACTCCCAATGGGGTGTATATTAAAGCCAAAATAACGAAGGCATTATTAAATGTTGAACTTGTGACCTTTGGTCCACCATGTATTTACATCCCTACTGAGTATTCGTGGAGTCTAAACATTAAACTAATTCATGTTATATATACACCATATATATATAGAGAGAAGTAGCCTGGAGGTAATTTTATGCACAGTGTTTTTAATAATGTGTATGAAACATGGATTGTATTCATTGAACCATCAGAAAGCAAATATTTATTTATTTATTTATTTACAGTATTTATATTCCACCCTTCTCGCCCCGCAGGGGACTCAGGGCAGATTACAATGCACATATACATGGCAAACATTTAATCCCATTTAGACATGCAACATATATAGACACAGAGGTAATTTAACATTCCAGCTTTTCTGGCTTCATGAGGATATGACACTCAGTCATCCATGTGAACCAGGACAGTTAAAATAGTGCCAAACAGCATTAATTCTACAGTATAGATTAGGCATGGGCAAATTTCAACCTCCAGTTGATTTGGTCTTCAACTCCCACAATTCCTAACAACCAGACAAATTGAAGTCCAAAACACCTGGAGGGCCGAAGTTTGCCCCGGTATAGATGCACCCTAGATGGCCTCAGATACATCAGACACTTGATTTAAAAAATATTTTCAAGTTTTAGATGGTTGAATCCATGGAAACTAATGGCCAACTGTATTTTGAAAATTCGAATGCATCTTTTGATAACCTTACAACTAATATACTAAAATTATATACCATATGTGTATGTATGTATGTATACACACACAGTATAATAGGAAGATTTAAAAGTAATAGAAATGTATGTCTAACCTAGGCAAGTTCTGAATTTTCCTCGCTCCATCTCCCTGCACTGTCACTGATCCACCTTTATTACATCTTGTCCTTACATCTAATGTTTGTATTATCTCAGTCTGTGGCTTTGTATTGTGTTGGTGTCCTACAGTGCACCTACTGCACATTTGATAATAAGCCAATATTTAATAGTTGATTATTTTGAGGTATATTGCAATGTAACTGAATAGAAGAGTTTGCAAGAAATTGTCTAGAGCAGAATGATCTACAAGCTAATTTATAGATATGTACAGGAGAGACAAAGTTCCTCATTCTTCATCTTTAGACTTTGTTAAATTTGGCCTTGTGTTCATCAGTAAACAGATGTTTTTATCCCACAGGTTACTGATACGTTGAACCTGCCTCCACAGCTCTCTTGTTGGCTGGAGTAACTCACTATGGCTCCTAAAGATATAATGACTAATTCTCATGCCAAATCCATTCTCAATGCAATGAATTCTCTGCGAAAAAGTAACACGTTATGTGATGTGACCCTTCGTGTGGAACAAAAATACTTTCCAGCCCATCGGATTGTGCTAGCTGCTTGCAGTGACTACTTCTGTGCTATGTTCACCAGTGAGGTATGCAAGGTGCACAAAAGCCAATTTATTCCTGCAAAAAGAACATTGCTTGCAGTGCATATTTAATGGTGCACAGTGTCATTAATACTAAAATTATGTGTGTGCACTTCTGAGAGCAATTCCCATTGAACTCACTAGGATTTCTTCAAAGTGAAAATGTATAAGATTGGTAGCATGGTTCCCTATTGCTTACCTAAACATTGAACTTCAATTTTCAGAATCTAGTAAAAGTCATTATTATAGTAACAAGAAAATAACATTATTTTTCTAATTTATAATTTTCAGCTTTCTGAGAAGGATAAGCCCTATGTAGATATCCAAGGTCTAACAGCCTCAACAATGGAAATATTGCTGGACTTTGTATACACAGAAACTGTTCATGTCACAGTGGAGAATGTTCAAGAGTTACTCCCAGCAGCCTGTCTACTTCAGCTAAAAGGTAATGGTAAACATTTCTTAGCATCATTGAACCTTGTTCCTATGTTCTCAGATCACAGTAAAGCAGTCACAGCCCCAAGAGCTCTAATTTACGGAGCCTCTTCCTCTGCAAACAGAACCAATTAGCCAGCACACAACAATACATGAGCTCATACTTGACAAATTGGAATTCTCTTGAAATTTAGTTTGCTGTCTGAATGTGGTTGATATAAAGTAGTTCTTAAGAGAAGATGTTTTATTTCAGTTTCAACTGAACCTCTTGCAAACAAAAGACTAAGGAAGACTAATAGAAATATGAGGAAATATGAAGACTAAGGAAATATGAGGACAGATTTATGTCTACTAAATTAGCCTGTACAAGAGAAACAATTTTTTTAAAACTCTGCTTTCAATTTTTTCACTTTAAAAGAAAATGTGGTTCTCTGAAATTCTTCTCATATCAGTTGCTTGATCACTTGTTGTATGAACTGTAATTTCATTTTTCCCACACAGGAGTAAAGCAGGCTTGCTGTGAATTCCTGGAAAGCCAACTGGATCCATCCAACTGCCTGGGCATCCGAGATTTTGCTGAAACACACAATTGTGTTGACTTAATGCAGGCAGCGGAAGTTTTCAGCCAGAAGCACTTCCCAGATGTAGTTCAGCATGAGGAGTTTATACTTCTGAATCAAGAAGAAGTGGAAAAGCTCATCAAATGTGATGAAATACAGGTAAAAGAAGGTTTGTCACAAGAAAGCAATAACTGACATATCATACAGTCAACAAGGAAAACAGTTGTTACATTATCAGTGCAGGTAGGCTAAGATAGTTCAAAAACTGAATGTTTTAAAACTTGTCCAGCATTTTGTCCAATTTAAAATGCTGTGTTAAATGTAGCAAGCAGTTCATGGATTTCACTGAACTTCACTGAACTTTCCAGGGCTGTCTGTGATGCAGCAGACAGCTAAAATTAACAAGTGTCCATAAATAATGTTGAGCAACAATGAGCTTAATGGTAAATCTAGTATTGTTTTTAATAGGAGATGTGGGTTGGTTTAACAAGGTAAATCTACAAATAACCTTCCTAGGTATTTGTAGGGGGGAAAAGAACTGGTTAAAAGTTGGTAATTCCAACTAATCTACACGTGAAATCAATTTGAATGAAACCAGGAAGCATTTTTCTCTTGAATACAGTTAGCCAAGGCTTGGGAGAGTTAGAAATTGATACTTTTTCTTTGCCACAAAATAATTCTGCTGGGAAAACAACTGGTTTATATTTGTGTAAGTTGTTGAAAATTGTTACTTGTAACTAAGAAATATTTACTTTAGAAAAACTTTAGAAGCATGTTGTATACACTGAAGCAATATATAAAAATTGTCATAGCTGAGGTTTCAATCCTAATCCCATCTGTAGTTTCGCCCCATTATTTTCCTTTTCAAGCTAAACGAGATATTTTGTATTGCATTCATGCTGTTGCTTATCTTGAAAATGTGTTATTGTTTAACACAATAAGAAAGCTTTGCTTTTATAAGCAAATCCATTTTCACAACAGAGAGACAAATATGCATGAAAACATGAGATATAGTTCCTACTACTCTTTTCGCAACAGAAAGAATGTTAGGAAGTGTATCTTATGTCTTTGGGCATGTTTGTGACAGTTATGCAACAAAGTTACACTTCCCCCATAAAGATCTTTACCCATTCAAAGAGAATTGTGTCTTCCCAGCTTTCAGACATCAGAGACACAATCTATGCTTGTCTCCTAAAATAGTCTTTTCTCATTGGCCAAAGTAATCTCTGTGAAACACTGGTTTTCTTACAGGTTGATTCTGAAGAGCCTGTTTTTGAGGCAGTTATCAATTGGGTGAAGCACTCAAAGAAAGAACGGGAATCATCCCTGCCGGAGCTGCTGCAATATGTCCGCATGCCACTTCTCACCCCACGCTACATCACTGACGTCATAGACACTGAGGTAATGTCAGCTGTTTTATTGAGCGGTTTGTGAAATCAGTCTGATAAAGCACCAGCAATGGAATATTCTCCCTTGTCATGCTTTAAACTCCCCTAATCCCTGACAATTTGACATGATGATGGGAGTAGTAGTCTATAACATTGTTGAAACACTAGAGTCTATTTCATTATTGCAATTACTGAACTAAAAGTTCATATTTCACTTAATGTATTTTTTCCGTGAGTCTAGTCCAGTCCTGGGCAAACTTAGGCCCTCCGGGTGTTTTGGACTTTAACTCTCACAATTCCTAACAGCTGGTAGTCTGTTAGGAATTGTGGGAATTAAAGTCCAAAACACCCGGAGGGTCCAAGTTTGCCCAGGACTGGAATAGATTAATGTGTATTCAAACGCCCATTCAGAATTATTATAGTCCCATCTATCACTAGATATGTTTTTTTTTTAATTATGAAATATCTCAAAAGTAAAATGCATTCCTTTATATTGTAACTATTTTTTCCTTTGTCCTATAAGGACACATGTTCATGTTGGAAGCAGCAGATCCTGTGAGTCACAGCCAGAGAAGAAAGAAAGAAATTTGAGTTCAGGAATTTTATAGCTGATTAAGAGCTGATATAACTTTTGTCCAGTAAGACAGCGAAGATGTCTGGACTGTATCTTTCTTCCCACTCCCACATAATATATGTTTTCATCTTCAATTCATTATCATATCTTCTTCCAGTAGCTTCCAGAATGTGGGCCTCTCTCCCATAGGAGACTAGGCTGACTCCCTCTCTGTTCTCCTTTCACCACCAGCAAAAACATTTTTATTCAGATCAGATTTAGATGCTTAACTGGCTATTGTAGAATAATATTTTAATGTCAAGAAGCTGCACTTTTATTCTCATTGTTACATTTTAAAATATTAAACTTGTTTTAACTTAGCAATGTTCTAAATGAGAAATAGCACTTTAACTTAAAAAAAACTTTTTGATATTTCTTCCCTTAGCTACTATAACCAGTGTGGAAAATCATACATACATACATACATACATATCTGTCTTTCTCCGTCAAAAATTATTTGGGGAGAGATGAAAACTTATTTGTATTTCTCTTTGCATCACATTGTTATACCAAACCTTTTTCTTCAGGTGTAGGTAAAAAAATCTTATAGATGCTACCATTGCATATCTAGAGCAGAAAATATTTCCTAAGCTTATATAATTTAATGGAGTTGCAATTTTTTGTAACCTGTAAAAATTAAATAATCTTCCCTATATATCTTCCTCAGCCTTTTATTAGATGCAGTTTGCAGTGCAGAGACCTTGTAGATGAAGCAAAGAAATTTCATTTAAGGCCTGAGCTTCGAAGCCAAATGCAGGGACCTAGAACCAGAGCACGTTTAGGTAAGTGACAAAGGGGTGCATGTAAAAATATTTTAGGAAATTGTGTTAAAGTGGTGATGCCATCTGGCCCACTCAAAATGTATAATTTATTGTCAGTGTTGTAACTTATTTTGGGCCTTGATGAATTAAAGGTGAAATGTAAATCAAGTTGTAACTCCTTATGAATCATATATGGATAAAAAACGTGAGCAAAATTATATATTCTGTGCTTCATGCATTGCTGGGAAACATACAGATTCAGAAAGTTTTTAACATCCTTCCTTAACTCATATCTTTATAGGACTCAGGTGAATACCACAACATATGTAGTTAAAATATCACCATCTATAAGAGATAAGGTAGCAGAAGATTTTGGGAAGCCCAAGGGTTATAGAAGCTATGAAATGATTATCACAATCATGGGAGGAAACAGTAGAGTGAGAAGAATACCCTCAAAATATCCCTGTAAGATACACCCCCGTGGACATGGAATAGTGAGCAATTGATTATAGCAAGGCTTTTTCAACTCGCGACCCCATTTTGTCTGAGAAATGTGTACGTGACCCCAAATAAAACTTTTACTGATAATAAATCATCATTTTATTGTAAAACAATTTGATATTTGTTTTTAGCCATGGTGGCACAGCGGGTTAAACCGCTGAGCTGCTGAACATGCTGACCAAAAAGTCGGCAGTTCAAATCCAGGGAGCGGGATGAGCTCCCACTGTTAGGCCCAGCTTTTGCAAACCTAGCAGTTCAAAAACATGCAAATGTGAGTAATCTATAGGTACCACTTCTGCAGGAAGGTAATGGCGCTCCATGCAGTCATGCTGGCCACATGACCTTGGAGGTGTCTGCGGACAATGCCAGCTCTTCGGTTTAGAAATGGAGATGAGCACTACCCCCCAGAGTCAGACAGGACTAGACTTGATGTCAGGGGAAACCTTTACTTTACCTCCTCCTCTGCACAAAGAATTCAAAGAGAAATAAGCTCTCATGGCCATGGCCTTCACAGGCAGATACGTCAGTTGAGGCATTGAGGAAGGGAGGAGTATGAAGCCCAAGTGGGACACCCAAGTCAGGAGGCAAAATGTTTGAAAGAGGAAAAGAAGAATCTAATCTAGAATCAACACCTCTCTCATTGTGACAAAGACTCATCAGGATGGAAAGGTACACACATGCGTGCGCATGCACAATTTTCAAGATGGAATGGAAATGAACCTCTCTTCCCCGATTCCCAAGATGAGGAGAGAGCTTCTCCCTCCCCTCCCCCCCATTCCCAAGGGAAAGCCCTAGACTCCCAAGTTGGGAATAAAAGGGGGGAAACCCAGATTCCCAAGATGGGAAAGAAGGGAAAGACGAACACACTCACAAGACAGGAAAAGAGGGAGAGGTCCACAAGACTTGTAAGAGGGAAAGGAAGACCCAGAAAAACTTACAGGCAGGAGTGGCACTTCCTCCCTCCACCCCACAGGCCTCAAAACCTGGGTCCCCAACGAAGCCCTCCATCCCTTTTCTTTCTAGTGCTAGCAGAAGCAACAAAGTTTGGGGAGACTGTCAGAAGAATATGCCTCTTATCTCCCTCCTCCCTCCCTTGCCTCCTCTGTTGGTGCCACATTGTCAGAGCTATGGCTACACCATTTGGGGTTGTGTCAGGTTCTGAGAGAGCGACACAACCCTTGACAGAAAAAAACTTCTCGGGGGTCTCACCTCTCTGGATGTGTAAGGATGTTAAAGCAGTAGTTCCCAACCTTTGGTCTATCAGGTTTTTGTTTTGTTTTTTTACTTCAGTTCCCACAATTCCTAACAACTGTTATGCTGTTTGGGATTTCTGGAAGTTGAAGTCCAAAACACCTGGAGGAACAAAGGTTGAGAACCACTGTGTTAATGCAGTGTCCTATTGGCTTGCAAATAGGTCTGTAAAAAGGTTTTTTCATGCAAATATTATTGCTGGCATATCTATATAAACTGATACAGAATATGTGACCTATGTTTCCTTGCCTGAAAGCTATTCTCAATCATGAAAAGCAGTCGGGCAAATTATTGCTGACAAGCCTGTATGGATGATAAATATCATTTTTACGTGTGCTTCCAGGCAAATGTCAAGCTGGACATTTGATAAATGAGTTCGTGAGAAGACACTGGCTTGGTATTGTAGTTTTAAATTTCTCAATTGAAGCATTACAGAGAGGAGGGATTCTGGTTGAAGATAGTAAAATTGTGAAAGGATATCAAAACTTGGGGCTGATTTCTGAGCTGAACCCTTTGCTTGATTGACATTTGTTTTCCTGCTATATTTAGATGCTGTAAACCTGAAACATCTTAATGCATTTTAAATTCATCGATATTTTCTGCATGTTCAGGAAGTGAAATGACTTCCAGTGATTTATTTCAAAAGTTGCCATTATTTCATGAACCATCTTGTGTCATTTGAAAATTACCTTCTGATTGGAGTAATTAGCTGGAAACAATAGAACGAACTCAACAAAAACAAGAATAGAAAAGCCAGCAAGGAAACAAAGCTGACGTGTACAGCTGCAACACGGGCAAACCGGATGTTGAAAGAGATATGAAGATTATATGGCTCAAGATAAGCATGAGTCGTCATGATGATAGTACTGAAAAGAAAGGAAAAAATATTAGTCTTAAATTAACAGATGTGGCTTTCCAATTTGCATTAAATACCACTAGATTACCACATTGGTTTCATTTGAATAAATGCAGGGGAAGGGGCAGTTTGACTGTTAAAAGGCTGCTAACAGGTTGCTAACATGAGGTTCATTAGTTTCAGGAGCCATTGAAGAAGAAGAAACCAAAATGCATTGATTGAGTGTGTTTGTTATTTTAAGGATGGAGAATCTGTAACCTTCCATATTATGGTGAACCCAAGTTTCTAGCAACAGTGGGCAATGATTAAATGACAATAATTAAGCGTCACCCTAGTTTATGTTATACTGGAGACACCCTAGTTTATATTCTATTGAATACATGAGGGTTTTCCTAGCTTAAATTTAGTATTTACTGAATTGTGACCTAACTAGTTAGCAGGAAGATTTAAGTACTTTTAAGGAGTGGGGGTTTTCTGTCTGTTGCTAGATTTTAAGAGGCTGATCAGTTTTATCACAATTGCTTTAAAGTTAGCATATCACTCAACACTATCCTAGTAAATCAGCTTGCTATGGCTAAGGAAAGTAAGTGAATTCAAGGAGAATGAAAAGAGAAACCTGAAGCTGTATTTATATTCAAAGAGTCTTTCTCAAAACAAATGACAAAGGATTTCTTTTTGACAACCTGATGGAGTATTAACATTCCAATGATCTGTTTTCACACAGGTGCCAATGAGGTGCTTTTAGTAATTGGAGGGTTTGGAAGTCAGCAGTCACCTATTGATGTGGTGGAGAAATATGACCCCAAGACACAGGAGTGGAGCTTCTTACCTGTATGTAATGTCTACTTCGTCTCATACATTAAAAAATGTCAGTTGCATACATTGTTAAAAGTACAGGGTTAGTCAAAATGAATAGGCCAATAAGAAAATTAATTTTAGACGAATGTATGTTTACTGTAACCAAACCACAGCTACGTAGCGACAGATAAACTATCAAAGTTTTTTTTGAGCAACACACATGTAGGGTTAGGGTTAGGGATAGGGTTAGGGTTAGGGATAGGGTTAGGGTTAGGGTTAGGGTTAGGACCTCAACGAACACCTTCCCAGACGTTGCTGCATTCGATGCCATTACGTCGGATGTGCTGCAACGGATGTGGAATGAACTGGACTATCGCTTGGACATCTGCCGTGTCACACGGGGCGCCCATATCGAACATCTCTGAAGGTGAGACAAAACTTTGATAGTTTATCTGTCGCTACGTAGCTGTAGTTTGGTTACAGTAAACATACATTCGTCTAAAATTAATTTTCTTATTGGCCTATTCATTTTGACTAACCCTGTATATTTAGTCAGTCTTGTTAGGGTTAGTAAGTAGCTAAATAGATGTTACTCCCTAATGCATATAAGAATGCTACTTTGGGAGGGAAAATTCAGAACGAAGTAGTAGTGGGCGTAAGAGTACTTCACAATTTTCTTGCACACTGTGACTGTCTCCTGCAGAATTCTGAAGTTTGTAGTTTAGGGAGGGGCCTTTAAACTGCTCATCCAGAGAAGTCCTGGGCTTCTCTAAACTACAAACCCCAGAATTCTGCGGGAAGCAATCACAGCATTTAAAGTGGATAAATGCTCAAATATGATGAGGCCCTTAATCTTGCCTTACAGGAAGAGTAAAATATTGGGGAAATGCATGTGAGATGCCTTGAAAGCATTCCTACAATAAAAACAAGGAGTGGGTAAAGTAGAGCCTTAAATGTGTTGTTGGACTGCAACTCACCACATCCCTCCCCATTGGCTATGAGGCAAAGGGTTGCTGAGAGTTACAGTTCCACATCTGAAGGGCCATACTTTGCCTGCCCCAGTATAAATAAATAGCTATAGGAAACACCTCTATAGCAGCCCATATGAAGATTCCACAGTGTTCCAGATACAATTTCAACCTATTTAAACCCAACGCCATTCAAAATCAGACGATTGCTTTCTAAATCCCGTAGTGACTTGTTTCTTGTCTGTCAGAAGAATTTGCTACTCACTGCTTTCTATTTTGGACTTTCATAATTGTATGCAAGGGAATGATGAAGTGAATATGTGAAATCGATAAACTCTGTCATGTTGGTTCATTGTGATGAGCAATGCTGTACATGCAGTCTCTGATTTGCAAACATCTGACTTATGAATGAGTCATTCTTAAGAATGGGGTGAGACAACAGGAAGTGAGAGAAATCTACCCCTAGGAAGATAAATCACTCCTGAAAGAATTATCATGGGGGAAATGTGTCTCCATTGAAGCTTCATCAGTGTCATTCCTTGTTTCCACAACAAGCCAAATTTGTCAGAATCCAATTCTCACAGGGACAGAAAGTGAGGTGAAATCTTTTGAACAAGGGGCACAGACAGCAAAACAAATGCCACAGAGGTGTTCACTTTTCCCTATGTTAACCAAGGCATTTGTGTGTGTGTGTGTATGGCTTGAATTATACTTTAAAAGTGTACCTATTTCGACTTACATACAAATTCAACAAGAACAAACCTATAAAACCTATCTTGTTTGTAACTTGGGGACTGCCTGCATCTATCTTTTTATGCTAACATTTGAAAATTCTAGTGCCAGTGCTATTTATAAATGTCATCATTTATTGGTTGCATTGTTTTTATTTTAACACACCTTAGAGCATCAGCCGTAAAAGACGCTATGTTGCCACAGTGTCATTGCATGATCGGATATATGTAATCGGTGGTTACGATGGCCGTTCTCGCCTTAGCTCTGTAGAATGTTTGGATTATACATCTGATGAAGACAGTATCTGGTACTCTGTGGCTCCTATGAATGTTCGACGGGGCCTCGCAGGGGCCACTACTTTGGGAGGTGTGTATTTTCTTCTCTTCTGTTTACATTCACTGTTTGAATCTTTGGGAAATGGAACTAATGCAGAAATTTCGTCTTCGTGGTAATGGTGGTGGTGGTATTACCAGCAATCAGATCTTATAACTTATGGCGACTGTATTCATTGGACCTTCAGATCGCCCTATCAGTCTGCTCAGTCTAACAAACTCTGTGGCTTCCTTGATTGAGTCTATTCATCTGTAATTTGGCATTTCTCTTTTCCTGCTGCCTTCTAACTTCCTCTTTTTTTCTAGGAAGTTTTCTCATGACATGTCCAGACATGATAGTCTCAATTATATTGTCTTGGCTTCTAGACAGAGTTCAGGCTTGATTTGCTCTAGAACACATTTATTTATCTTTTGGCAGTCCAGTGCATCCACAGGACTCCCCTCCAGCACTATACTTTAATTGAGTTGATTCTTTTCCTATCAGCTTTCTTCTCTGTCCAGCTTTCAAAACCATATATGGAAATTGGAAATTCATTGGCATGGACAATCCTGACTTAGGTATTAAATGCTGTATCTTGCCACCTGAGGATCTAGTCTAGTTCTTTAATAGATAACTGCTTCCATGTCCCAGTGTTCTTGTAACATCTTGGGCCATGATTTAGGAAATCTCAGTGCATTTATTGGCTGCTTCAAAATTATATGAATAATCTGTGGCCGTTATTTTTGTTTTCTTAATGTTCCATTTTAAACCTGCCTTTGCACTTTCTTCTTTTATTTTTCTCAGCAATCATTTCAAATCTTTGCTATTTTCTGCTAGTAGTAAGGTGTCATCTACATATCTTCAATGGTTGGTGTTTATCCCTTCAGTTTTCACACCTCCTTCCTCAAAGTCTAGTTCAGTTTTGCGTATGATACGGTAAACATATGAATTAAACAGATGGGTGATAAAAAGCATTGCCTTTCTCTGAAATACTGCCTGCAATACCTGGTATTTCTTGACAGTCCCACATCAAGTACTCTTGATCCTGCTTAGCTTCCAAGATTAAACACCACCTGGTGCCTTCAGAATATTTAGACCTCTTCTGGGATTGTTATAGTTCCAAGTATTTTAAAATAATTTATTAAGGCCTCTTTTTTATTGTGTCAGAAGCCACTTGAGAAACTGCAAGTCGCTTCTGGTATAAGAGAATTTGCCATCTGCAGAGACGTTGCCCAGGGGACGCCTGGATGTATTACCATACTTTTGGAGGCTTTTCTCATGTCCCCATATGGGAAGCTGGGGCTGACAGATGGGAGCTCACCCTGTCTTACGGATTTGAACCACTGACCTTCAGGTCAGCAGTTCAGCTGGCACAAGGGTTTAACCCATTGTGCCACCGCGGCTCCTATTAAGGCCTCTGAAATGGAGGTAAATAAGGCAAAATCTAAGCTATTGTGCTTAAGGATAGCATCTAAGGTTAAAAACCAATTATCTGAAATCTTTTACAGTTCTGTGTGTTCTCTGTCATTTCAGTATTTAGAAATACACACCCCCAGTCAGGTTTATAAAATTGTGTTTCTAAATTTTAATACTTTTAACACAAAAAGCTGAAAGAAAATTATACAATTGGTCAATTTGAAACTTAAGTTGGGGATAACTTTTTTAAAATGCCTTTATTACCCAGTTAAATTTTTTTGTATCAAGTTTTCTTGGTCTAAATTCGTCTTTCTTTTTTTTTTTAACTCAACAAAAATCTATGTTACATTGTGCAAGACGAGAAATAACTGCTAAAGTGATTAGTTATAATTTGAATGAATGGCAGATTGGGGTTTCTGGATCTCATTTATCTTTTAAGGCACTCTAGTAGAAAGAAGTAGAGTGCTTTAGTCATAACAATAATGTTGAATCCTGGTTGTCTTCGGAAAACAAGGATTTACATTTAGAATCAGCGAACGGAAGTTCTTTTGGAGATTATCGGCACAGACATCAAACAACACATTTTCTAAAGAACACATTTCAAATCTGACATGAATGGAAAGAGGTTTGCTCTAGTTCCTTTTACTGTCATAATGTCATCCATCATTATGTGAAAAAGATGTTTTGGCATAGAAAGTATGGAAACTGGAAAAAATTTACAGAAAAAAACTTAGTTGGCTGTCATCAAATATTGTCTTGATAAAATATTGGATGGAAGGTGTTGGGGAAAATGTAGTAAATATGTGGTGGGGCTGTTTTGTGTTGCTTGCTTCTGAATAAAAGTTGTTTCTATTGGATGAAAAGAATCTAGCATTTGTCTTAAATAAGAAAGTTCATGTCAAAAATTAGGATTTTTGAAAGAAATACAGTACAAATGAACTCCAGCCCTTATAGCATCTGGCACCTTTTCATTGATTAAAATATAATACTCACTTTATTTTTCCTCCTAAACTGCAAAGGAAGTTTTTAAAAATGCTGTTATAAATACCTAAAAGGAAAATTATATTTCTTTTGTATTTATTTATTTATTTATAATCAGAAATTAGTTGTTAATGCAGGTTTATTAGTTATTGGTTTGATGGTTGCTCTTATATTTTGTTCTAATGTTGTTGTTTTATTCTGTTTTATGCTGTTGTTTTTATATTTTAGTGCGTTATATTTTAACCATGTTTGTTCGGGCTCGTCCCCATGTAAGCCGCCCCGAGTCTGTCCAGGGAGATGGAAGCGGGATATAAAAATGTTGTTGTTGCTGTTGTTATTACTAGCCATCCCCTGGCACGCGTTACTGTGGCCCAGTCTGTGTATATGTGTTTTGTGTGTGTATATGTGTATATATGTGGTTTTGCGCATGCGTTGCAATGTATTTTTTAATTTTTGGCTTTTTAAGTCTCTTCCGTTGTGTTTTTCAGTGTTTTTATGAGTGATGGTCAGCTGTTGGCTTGAGAGGTGTATTGTGTCCAAATTTGATGTCAATTCGTCCAGTGGTTTTTGAGTTATGTTAATCCCACAAACAAACATTACATTTTTATTTATATAGATTTACAGTATTTATATTCCACTCTTCTCACCCCAAAGGGGACTCAGGGCAGATCACAATGCACACATATAAACATTCAATGCCATTTTTTAGACAGACAAGATAAACAGATATAGGTATTTTTGGCTTTTCAATTTTGGCGCCTGGTGGTTAATGCTAAATTGCAGCCACAGGAGGGGGTGTTGTTGCTTTATCCAGTATGACGCTGAGTCATTTTGATCATATTTCCTCCTTGCTTTTTGATCTCTTGCAGTTTTATGGTGTCATAAAATACTTCCCTGCTTTAATCGATCCCTAATTTCTCTACTCACAGCTCAGTTATCCAACTGCTTAGGTGGACAGTAAACTAGTCTTAACAGTCGGGTGCTCAATCTGACTCGCGCTTCGAACTTGCCACCTTCCAGTGAGCAGTGATCTATTGCTGCTGCTGATTAACCAGCTGTGCATTCTTTCTTCATAAAAATGTTATCTTTTGAGTTTTGTTCTCATATGTAGGTGCTCTTCTCGTATTTTGGTTTCCCGTTAAAGTATTTTTAATTGATTGTTCATTGTTATGTCTTGTTATAATAATTCATATACTGCAGCAAAGATTCATTTACAAAGTATACGGATGGTCATGGCAAAGACATTGCTTGCCATTGAAATGTGTGGCTCTAGTTCATATTCTAATACTGTGTTACAGACATGATCTATGTTTCTGGAGGTTTTGATGGAAGCCGACGTCACACCAGTATGGAAAGATATGATCCCAACATTGATCAGTGGAGCATGCTGGGAGATATGCAGACAGCTCGAGAAGGAGCAGGGCTGGTGGTTGCTAATAATGTTATCTACTGTCTTGGTAAGTATCCTTAGGATAAGGATGGGAATCACTTTCGGCCTCAGTTTCATAGAAGTGTGTAAGGATTGCAATCTGGTTGGGAGCAGGAGGCAAAATATCAGCATATTTTAGATTACATATGTCACTATTAGCAGCAAAGCATTAGAACTCCTTCAAATGGAGGGAGGATGCACAGGAGCAAAAACAGTATCATAAAAAGGTCATCACAGTTTAAGGAACCTCATAGTGCTGAATTTGGCAAGGAGATCAGAGGGTCCCTATCTCTGCATTAGAATGGCTTCTACTTTATATATATATTAATAATCATGTTCTGCTGGAAAAGTTATGAAAAGAAGTTTTGCCCAAAAAGGATAAAGCATTATTTTGCATATCCCCTAGTTCTCTGCTACTCTATCAGATTCATCAAACCATATTCTTCCCTGAAGTCCTCTAGATTCAGAACTCGAAAGGCAGAGAGTAGTACCTGGAGTTGAATCCAGGATCTTCCTTCTATGAATGGACAGGATGTGATCACCAGGTGCTTCTCTGGTTTTTGAGGATCCCCCTACACTCCATCACCGCTCAGCTTATTTAGTAGGCCTACAAACCTATTCAGCATTTTTAGGATGCAATAATAATAACAACATAAACAATAGGCCTGGGTAACAACAGAAAAATTTGTTTCTAAAATCGATTCGTTTTTTGGGGGGTTTTGCGTTTCGATATTTAAAAGAATTCCGAAATTTTTCTTTTAAAAAGTTCGATATTTACGAAATTTCGTAAATGTTAAAAAATTACAAAACATTAACGAAACAAATACGAAACAATAACGAATCGATTCGTTAATGGCGGACGCGACCGCGCAATACGCTAAAAAACCTCCAAATGGGACAGGGGGAACTTCTGAAGCTTCCCTCTCCCTCTGTTGTTGACTGTTGGTGTGATATTATAATTTTTTTTCACTAATTAAACAAAAAACAACTATAAAACTTGCCCCAGACATGCGGAAATAATAACGAGTCCCCGGGGGGACTCAGGACAGATTACAGCATATATAAACAGACACGGACACACATTAAATGTCTTGTTACAGTGGCATATAAGAAGACACAAATACACAAAGGCAAAGGCTTCTCTTTCATTTTTGGCTCTTGAGGCAGTTCTCATCTCTGGCTCTGGGGAGGGGGGGGGGAGTCTCTTCTCCATTTCCAAGCCAAAGAGCTTGTGTTGTCCATACACATGTGGATATGTGCCTGGCATGACTGTCAGGAGTGTCTTTTTGCATTTTCCCATCAAAGTGGTACCTATTGATCTATGCACATTTGCATGTTTTTGAACTGCTAGGTTAGCAGGAGCTAGGACTAGCGGGAGCTCACCCCATCCTGTGGATTCGAACTGCCAACCTTCAGGTCAGCAGTTCAGCAGCACAAGGGTTTAACCCAATGCACCACCATGGCCCCATTGTGCCACCGTGGCCCTGTGGGTGCTGAAGTGATTATTGAAACAAGGGGGCAAGAAGTCTATTTCCAGCAGTGCAGTTGAAAATAACTCAATCTGGATGCAGCTCTGTGTCTTTAAAGGTAGAAAAGAATCAAATATTGGTTGTTTTGCAGGATGGAATAGAGAATTTATTAGACTGCATCAGTCCTTTAGGTTTATTAATTTAAAAGATAGCTTGGTTGCAATTCAAGCACTGTTGTTCTAAAGCAATCCTTTTGGAATGCTTAAGAATTCATCAGCACAGTGGTGTGTGCCTGATATCTGAAAATAGAAATTAGATTGTTTCATGAATATCTAGTTGAAATGTATCTGAGCAAGCTAAATTGATGTTTCTTGAAACTTCTCAGAGCAACCAGCTAAAATATTCTGACAGCATTCTGAATAATGCAAAAAATCAACATTGAAATGTTGCCTGCTAGGAAAATCCTGACTTTTGTTCACTGTTGTGTTAAGAACCTGACAGCTTTATCTGCTAAAGCATAAAGAGAAAGCTAACACATAACAGCTTCTTCCTGTAAGTAATGTATGCAGTATTTTCAGCTCATTTTTATAGAAATGTCCGAATCCAGTTCATCTGATGGAAGTTCAAAAAGAGTTGTCCCACTGCCTTTTACTTTTAGAATTGCTTGTCAGCAGTAGTGTAAATTTGCCTCTGTCTTCACCTTATCTCCTATGTGATTATTTTCTGTCTGCTTTGTGCAGATGCTGTGTTTAGAGTCAGGGTTCCTTTCTGATGTGTTGTCAATCCCAAGCCTTTGATTCCTAAGTGAAATCAATAAACATGTCTATTGCTTTCCGCTGTGTGTTTTCAGGTGGCTATGATGGTCTGAACATCTTAAATTCTGTGGAGCGATATGATCCTCACACGGGACATTGGACAAATGTCACTCCAATGGCCACCAAACGTTCAGGTGAGATACCTGATGGGGTGCAAAGCTGTGAAATACAGTGTATAAACTCTATTCCTGGAAGCTTTTCTTTCAGTAACATTGCCATACAATTGTAGTTACTGTTATATATCTTCAAGTAAGATGATGGCAGAAACCATCTGTGGATTGAAATACATATTTTTTCTCAACAATCAACATTTTCCCTTGTTTGTTCATGTGGACCTATTCTTAAAAAGCAGTGAATTTTTCAAATGATGGATTTAAAATGTGATACTCCACCATCTACCCTTTCCAGTCTTTTCTCTCTTACACTCTTCATGGAGCACCTTAAATGCAGTTTTCTTGAAAGCAAAGTTTAGACCAAGATCCTAAAGGCTTTCAGCTTAACATTAATAAAAGTCACTGTAATTCTTCTGTATCTGACAGCTGCCTAGCTGATTTTATAAGTGGCAAGATCATGAGTTAATATGTTGAGCAATGCTTGAAGAACACCTCATCAATACAGTACAGTGTTTATGTAGTGACTGGCTCCACTAGGCAATGCATTGACATAACCTCTAGGAAAGTACAACCATTTGTGCAGTAATTTTACAGTCCGGGGAATGATTTGGGTTGTATTTCCTCTGTCTTCTTAGAAGTGGTGACCTATGAATATTAAAGAGGGTGTGGTAGTATAATAGTGGCACCACAGCCTATTTTGTGCTTATAGAAAATTTCATATTGTCAGACATGCTAATGGTAGAAATGTCATGTACTCTCTGTGGTTTCTGTTTCTAGGAGCTGGAGTAGCTTTGTTGAATGATCATATTTATGTGGTTGGGGGATTCGATGGAACAGCACATCTGTCTTCTGTAGAAGCTTATAACATTCGCACCGACTCCTGGACAACAGTGACCAGCATGACTACCCCCCGCTGTTATGTGGGTGCAACAGTTCTGAGGGGAAGGCTTTATGCCATAGCAGGGTAAGCAGGCCAAGCTTCTTCTTCTGGAAAAGATAGGAGGGGCCAGCATGAACTTGAGAAGGGACTAAACCAGTGATGGGCAACCTTTTCAGCTTGGTGTGTCAAAATTCACCAAAAAAGCGAGCATAATTCAGGTGGGGTGCCACTTTGGGGAAAAAACCCCATAATTTTGTGATAGTTATAGTTTAAATAACAAAAATGCATAATTGCAATATATAACCGCATTTAATAACCCAAAAACTAATTATTTAATTTACCTGCTTAGTGACTTATTTGTTCATCCTTCAGTCGGTTTCTTTTGTTGATCTTGATATTATTTAACTTGTGTGGGTTGCCATAAACTAAGATAAGTGAGGGGGAGGGGAAATTCTTTAACTAAGCTGCTTATTAGTGACTTTTTTGTTGCTGAATTTCATTGACTAAATCTTCAATTGAAGGTTGGTATTTTGTACACTTCAAGCCCAAACAAGTGCTACTAACATAATCTGTCAATCTGTTTCTTTTGATGGTTTTGATATTATTTAACACTAAGAATAAGGTCTCACAAAAGTATATGGGCGCGTGTCATCAAAAATGGTTACGCGTGTCAGTGCTGACACATGTGTCATAGGTTCGCCATCATGGGACTAAACTGAAGCTTTCTTCATTTTGTGGGCTATATAAATAAACATGTTCACCCTCTTCCATTCTTGGTTGGTTCCCTCTGACACACCTCCCTTTGTTGTTTGGATATATGTTTCTTTTCTTCTTCTTACTGAAATGCCTAACATTAAATTATCTTCCGACACTAGCATATATACCCAGTGTTGCCAGGGTATGCATTTTCTGAAGAACTGACTTAGTTTTGTCATCTTAAGGACTCATTTCTCCCTTCTCCAGCTCGGTGCCATCCTTGCCTGACTCTCTGGGAAGGATGCCCATAGAACATCTCCATGGCAAAGTTTTGGCCCTCTTAGAGTGTCTTCCTGCTGATGTTCTAGCCCTCTTCCATTTTTCTTCTCTCCTTCTGACATAGTCTTTATATCAGGCATGGGCAAACTTTGGCCCTCCAGGAGTTTTGGGCTACAACTCCCACAATTTGGGGAGCACCTGTTTTGACTTACATATCAATTCAAATTAAGAACAAACCTACAGAACCAATCTTGTTTGTAACTTGAAGACTGCCTGTGCTGACAACTCTATACTGACAAAAATGCATGCTTTCTAACTCCCAAGAACTGAGCATTTTGCTTCTAACTCTGTTTGTATATAGGTATGATGGGAACTCCCTCCTGAGCAGCATTGAGTGTTACGACCCTATCATTGACAGCTGGGAAGTGGTAACATCACTGGGGACCCAACGTTGTGATGCTGGTGTTTGTGTGCTGCGGGAAAAGTGACTCTAGAGAAGAACTGTGCAAGAACATTTCCAGAGAAGATAGGACAGAAAGTACCAGCTGACTTGGTGTTACTGATCTTGCTGTGGATGCAGTGACTTGCATTAGGCCTGCGCTGCATACCATGCAGCCTATCTTCAAAGCTACTGATTCCAGTTCAGAAATGGACACACAAAATAAACTACATATTGGCACTTTGAGCTGAAAATTAAGAAATTACATTCTCCCCTGAGAATGAGATTTCAAAGCAACAAGGACACCTCTGCCTTTTGACCTGCTGAGTGCCTGAGATTAAGCAGCTCATCTTGGTTGTTTCTAAAGCATCAACACACACACACAAGGAGATCTGCATACAGGTCCAAGGCTTAGAGTTGCCTGAATGTTTCCATGCAGAGAATATGCTGCAGCGCAGACGTGCTGATAAGTGAACATTGTGTGTTTTTCAGGTTTGTCACTGACTTGCAGAAAGTATTGGGAAGAGTCAGCCATAGGTTAGTGCATGCAGCTTACTTATGCAGTATGTCCTTTTTCAGCATTTTGTCCTTCCAACTTCAAAACTGAACAGAGGGGAATGGGAACTCTCAAAAATGGCAATATTCAGCCTGCCTGCTGAAAGAATGGTGGCAGGAAAAGTATATTTTTATGTTGGCTGCCAGAGGCTGGATACAAATGTTTCTGGGGGGAGGAAGGTTGCTCCACATTTTGTAAATCAAAACCTGCCTTGGCCTGTTTCTCATCTAGACATCCTGAGTATTAGCAGAACAACATCTGTAATAACTATATTATTGGATGCTTGGGTAGAATAGAGGAGTGCAGATATGCACGACTTTTCAGAGTTTGGGTGTCCAGTTGACACACAGTATGCCTCCCCCACCCCCCACCCCAAAAAATCCCGGAACACACCTTAATTGACACCAGTCTGCATTGCAAATAAGACTGGTGCCTGATGGCCTGTGTGGACACTCTCAGCACAGGATCTCTCTCACTTCATCTCTGCTTTTTAAAAGACTGTTTTCTGTGCTACTGTTTAAACAGTAGCAGCCAAAGTAGGACTATTGAAGGCCATGTGCCTTTAAGAGCATGTTGCCAACACATTGTTTTCCTCCATTCTCTCCAGATGCTGTCAAAAGCGAAGAGCGTGATCCTTGGTGTGGATTGGAACTCTTACATTTTTGCTCAAGGCCTCTTTCTTTCTGTAGTGCCCTTTAGGATTCCCTTTCTTCCTGTCTATTTAATAACCCTCTGGTGTGTATGCAGTGTATTAGATGTGTGAAAAGAAGTCACATTGCTAAAACAGACACTTGAGCCTGTGGATAATGCCGCTCCACCCCTCGGTGATGTGCCCTGAACCTTCAGCATGACCCTAGAGCTCTCCTCCTTGATCTACTGAGCCTCTTCTGTGTTGCCCAATCAGGAACCAAGGGGTGAATGTATTTATTTTCTTGGGTGCTGTGGACTCCTGGCTTGGGGGGTGTGGTAGCATGGGATTACGATGCACTTTCAAACAACACTGAGTTTATAAAGTCTGTCCTATCACGCCAGTGTTTGTGATTCATTTCTTATGTATTTTTTAATAAAAGTATCTCTGGTGAGTAGTTTGTTTCTTCAGGAAGGTTGGCTTTATTCTTGGGGTTCTGCATCCAACCTGTTTTAAAAAGTCAAACATGGCATAATCATAAGAGTCACCTCTACTCAGAGCTGCACAAACACATTGAATCTACAGTAGCTCTCTTTTATCTGAGGTAACTCTTTCATAGATTATGTTTAAAAGACATGAATGCATTGTCATTTCCTTCAATTAAAGATGAGAATACTAAATCCCGGTAACAAAATCTGAAACACATCTTGATTGATTATCCTAACATCAGTACACTAGATGACCTGTCTTCCATTATTTCATCCTGTGATACAATTACTCCATATCATATATTACTAGTTAGTGGTGATGTCAAAAATCACTTGTGTTTTTTCCCCAATGTGTTTAGCCCAGTGTTTCTCAACCTGTGAGTCCCCGGGCCTACAACTCGCAGAAATCCCAACCAGTTTACCAGCTGTTAGCATTTCTGGGAGTTGAAGGCCAAAACATCTGGGGACCCACAGGTTGACAACCACTGGCTTAGCCCAATTAAAACATACTGGATTGTGGGTTCAACTCTTATTTCTCTCTGAACAAAGAAAGGTACAGGGCAGTGGTTCTCAACCTGTGGACCCCCAGGTGTTTTGGCCTACAACTCTCAGGAATCCCTACCAGTTGACCAGCTGTTAGGATTTCTGGGAGTTGAAGGCCAAAACATCTGGTTACCCACAGGTTGAAAACCACTGGTTTGGGGAATGTTTTCAAATGCTAGCACAAAGCCAGCATAACAGTGGCTATCAGTGGTTCTCAACCTGGGGTGTTAACCTGGCATAATGTGAGTTGTAGTTCACCCATAACATTATGCATTGTGTAAAATGAAAACATCAACTTCTTCAAATAACTCGGGCAATGCTGGGTCCCCAAGCTAGTCTTCTATATAAATAAAAATGTAATGTTCATTTGTGGGATTAACATAACTCAAAAACCACTGGATGAATTGCTGCCAAATTTGGCCACAAGACACCTACTAACACAAGGAGTGACCATCACTCAAAAAATCGATTTTGTCATTTGGGAGTTGTAGTTGCTGGGATTTATAGTTAACCTACAATCAAAGAGCATTCTAAACTCCACCAATGATGGAATTGAACCAAACTTGGCACACAGAACTCCCATGACCAACAGAAAATACTGGAAGCGTTTGGTGGGCATTGACCTTGAGTTTGGAGTTGTAGTTCACCTATATCCAGAGAGCACTGTGGATTCAAATAATGATGGATTTGGACCAAACTTGGCACGAATACTCAATGTGAACACTGGTGGAGTTTAGGGAAAATAGACCTTGACAATTGGGAGTTGTAGTTACTGGGATTTATAGTTCACCTACAATCGGAGCATTCTGAACCCCACCAACGACAGAATTGGGGCAAACTTCCCACACAGAACCCTCATGACCAACAGAAAATACTTAAGGCCATCCAGTCCAACTCCCTTCACCAGGGCAAGAAACATAATCAAAGCCCTCCTGACAAAGAGCCATCCAGCCATAGATATAGATAGATATATATGATTCACACAGAGAGAGATATAGTGTCATAGATTTGAAAGGGACCCCTAAAGAAGGACAATTATATGTTGCATGTTCCAGAGTAGGCAAACCAGACAATCTCCACATCAACACTGACAAAGAAACAGCAAGAAATACTGTTTACCCACAAGCATAAAGACATTACATATATTAGAAACCAACACTTTCTCATTACTTTATTTTCCAGACCACCAGACTGGGCCACAGCTAGTATAGAACAAAATAACATGGAGAAGAGGAAGAGAATGGTACAGGAAATAGATTAGCATGGAACAGCAGGCGAGCCCATTCGACTCCCAGCCTCTTCCCAGCCGCGCATGCGCAGATACTCTCCTTTCCTCCTTCCCACCCTTGCTGCAGCTGCGCATGCGCGGCCATGGCGGCGCCCGGGTCGGAAGTAATGGTGTCCGGTCCGGAGGGGCTGGTCTGCTCCGGGGGACGGAACCGAAAGGCTGTCCTCTGCCAGCGCTGCAGCTCCCGCGTCCTCTTGCCCGGGGCGGCTGTCTTCGCCCGCAAAGAGGTGGGTGGCGGCCAAGGGGAGAGAGAAGGAGCCTTCTGAACACCCCCCACCTTCTTTGCAGGGTTTTAAAGCAGAGGCTGCACGGCCATCTGTCGGGAGTGCTTTGCTTGGTCTTCCTGCATGGAATGGGGTCGGGCTGGGTGGCTCTTCTCACTAAGGACATTACAGCCAGTATCTACACCAGGCATGGGCCAACTTGGGCCCTCCAGGTGTTTTGGACTTCAACTCCCATCATTCCGAACAGCCTCAGGCCCCTTCCTTTCCCCCTCACCCTCGAAGCGAGGAAGGGGAAAGGAAGGGCCTGAGGCTGTAGGAATGATGGGAGTGGAAGTCCAAAACACCTGGAGGGCCCAAGTTTGCCAATACCTGGTCAACAATGTATTTACACTCTTGACTTGACAAGATATTTCAATATCTAGACTAGTGTTTCTCGACCTTCCTAATGCGGCGACCCCTTAATCCAGTTCCTCATGTTGTGGTGACCCCCCAACCATAAAATTATTTTCGTTGCTACTTCACAACCGTAATTTTGCTACTGTTATGAATCATCATGTAAATATCTGATTTTCAGGATGTATTTTCATTCACCGGACGAAATTTGGCACAAATACCCAATACACCCAAATTCGAATACTTATGGGTTTGGGGGATTGATTTTGTCATTTGGGAGTTGTAGTTGCTGGGATTTGTAGTCCGCCTACAATCAAAGAGCATTCTGAACTCCACCAATGATGGAATTGAACCAATCATGGCACACAGAACTCCCATGGCCAACAGAAAATACTGGAAGGGTTTGGTGGGCGTTGACCTTGAGTTTTGGAGTTGTAGTTCACCTACATCCAGAGAGCACTGTGGACTCAAACAATGATGGAACTGGAACAAACTTGGCAAAAAATACTCAATTTGCCCAAATGTGAACACTGGTGAAGTTTGGGAAAAATAGACCTTGACATTTGGGAGTTGTAAAGTTTGCCCATGCCTGAGATTTATAGTTCGCCTACAATCAAAGAGCATTCTGAACCCTACCAATTACAGAATTGGGCCAAACTTCCCACACAGAACCCCCGTGACCAACAGAAAATACTGGAGGGTTTTGGGAGGGATTGACAGTGATTTAGTTCACCTACATCCAGAGAGCACTGTGAACCCAAACAACAATGGATCTGAACCAAATTAGGAACTATTTCGGTGGGAGGATTCACTGTCTGTTTCCAAAAAGGAAGAGAAAGTCAGGCAGAGAGATCTTCAGCCTTGTGTGCTAAAGGGGCTTCTAAGACCTTCAGAAATATGTGTTTTCTGATGGTCTTCTGTGACCCCTCTAAAGCCCCTCTCATGACCCCTCCAGGGGTCTCGACCCCCAGGGTGAGAAACACTGATCAAGAACTCAATATCTAGTTTTAACCTCATAATAGCAACGAGAAAAGGCACCCAGTAGAAAGTAGTACTTTTCTACTTTTGCATTTGACCAAGGTTCAGAGGTCTGCCAGATCAAAACTGCATGATGTGATGTCTTTCGGGATACAAACCATGTGACGTAATGTAAAATAAACCATGTGTAGTTTGATCAGCCCACACACTGCCTTGTCAGAGAAATAAAATATGCCACTCAGATGAACAATGAAGAACAAGTAGTTTACTGTATTGTCGAAGGCTTTCATGGCCGGAATCACTGGGTTGTTGTAGGTTTTTTCGGGCTATATGGCCATATTCTAGAGGCATTCTCTCCTGACGTTTCGCCTGCATCTATGGCAAGCATCCTCACTACCTCTGAGGATGCTTGCCATAGATGCAAGCAAAATGTCAGGAGAGAATGCCTCTAGAACATGACCATGTAACCTGAAAAAACCTACAACAACCATGTACTTTACTCTTTGTAAATCAGAACAACATATTTACAGTCATGTGATCAGTTGCATGGACTCACATAATGTCCTCTTATGAGAGATTGAAAATGGCATTTCTTTGTCCATATGGAGAATCTCCTTCAGCAGCCCATGACGCAAGAGCACACTCCAAATTCTGTCCCTCTCTGCTTCTCTTTTCTTCTCTCTGTGCACTTGCATAGCTCAAGCCTGAACAAAAATGTAACAGTAACCAAAAGTCCCAGGCTCAGCCTGCTCCCAGGGCATTGCCCGACCAATCAGCTTCATGCATCTTATTTTCAGTTGACACAGACTCATTCACTGATTCCTTGAATGCATGAACAAACAGGTGACTTGTTTTCTTTCTTTCTCCTTTTCCAGCTGTTCCTTCCCGCCATGAAGAAGAAGACGGCCCTGGCAGGCGGTTGTGACCCTGAAGGGGATGTCCTCCAAGACCACTGGCTGGTGGACGACATGTTCTCATTTGAAAATGTGGGCTTCACTAAGGACGTCGGGAACGTCAAGTTCCTGATCTGCGCAGACTGCGAAGTGGGCCCGATTGGCTGGCACTGCGTGGATGACAAAAAGAGCTTCTACGTGGCTCTGGACCGAGTGTCTCATGAATGACGGACCAAAGAACCCGCACAGAGCCTCCTGCTGGCCAGATGGGCCGCTATAAATAATATAAATGAATAACCCCACACCCTTCAAACAAGCCAGTGCCACCTTTGTAACGTCAACGTGCAAAATGGTGCAAATATGGTGTTTGTATTGTTTGTCAAGCGATCTCTGATTGCCTTGAACCTCTCCTGAGATAAGCCTTGCTCTAATTCCTTTTCCTGACTAATATGTGGCATATTCATACTGGGGTTTTATTTAAGGCCTTCTCGTGACATGTCAATATGGAACGCAATAAAATATAGAAATACTATACACTGAACTATGTGCTCTCTGAAAAATAGGCAATGTAATATAAGAGAAAATAAAACTGTTAAGGCTTTTTATTATTTGTTAGAATTATTATTTTACAGGATATTGTCTGCTTTTTTATGGTTTTCTGATTTGTTTTGGACCCAAAGATGCAGACGACTGACTTTTAATGTTGGCAGGCCTGAAGGCCGTAGCGTAAGATTCCACAATATGATCATAATCTGTTATTGAAAATCAAGTTCTGGCAAGTTGCAAGGAAGCATTTCAAATGTGGGGAAGTCAGATGAAGTCTAAGGAGTACCCAAAATGTTTACAATAAATCTGTAGAAACAAAATGTCTCTGGAGGCACTTAACCTTTCATAAATATTTGTATTTAATTAAACTTCAATTGTGCTTCTCCATTTGTGTATTGTGGTCTTTACATATGAAACACAGCTCCCATGAGTTTGAAGAAAGAGGGTTTCCAAGAGTTAGTCCAACTTCTCAGTACTGGCATTAGCAAATTTTAGCCATTTGAGACACCAAATACAGGCAGTCCCCAAGTTACAAACATCCAACTTACAAATCACTCATAGTTGGGTGAGACAATAGGGAGTAAGAGTAATCTACCCTAAAGAAGGGAAATTAATACCTGGAAGAGTTATGGCAAAAAGGTGGCTTCACTGAACCTTTATGACCAATCCTTGTTTCATTTGTCAAAATCCAATCCACTTAGGCAGAAAAAAATGAAATGCAAAGGTACAGAATGGGAGAGAATGCCTGGCTCAACAGCAGTACGTGTGAAAAAGATATTGAAGTCCTCGTGGACAACAAGTTAAACATGAGCCAACAATATTATGTGATGGCAAAAAAAACCCAATGGGCGTTTGGCCTGCATCAAAAGGAGTATAGTGTCTAAATCCAGGGAAGTCAGACCGCATCTGGAATACTATGTTCAATTCTGTGCACCACAATTGAAGGGAGATTTTGACAAGCTGGAATGTGTCTAGAGGAGGGCGACTAAAATGATCAAGGGTCTGATGAACAGACCCTATGAGGAGTGGTTTAAAGAGCTGGGCACGTTTAGCCTGCTGTCCACATGACCTTGGAGGCATCTACGGACAATGCGGATTTTCCACTTCGAAATGGAAATGAGCCCCACTCTTGAGTTGGAATCGACTAAATCTTAATATCAAATGGAAACTTTTACCTTTACCTTTTAAAGCCTCCACAGGACAGGAATCTTAAGGTGAGTTACTTGTTTATTGTGGATAGAGTTGAAGTTTGATTGCCTGGATTTCAATGCTCTTTACTTACTAATCCCTACATGAGAAATGTATGGGCCTCCTGATTATGTTGAATGGACCAAGCCCAAGCATGGGCAGACTTCGGACCTCCAGGTTTTTTGGACTTCAACTCCCACAATTCCTAACTGCCTCATTCCCCTTCTGCTTAAGCGGCTGAGGGGGGAAAGGAAGGGGCATTTTGGCTGTTAGGGATTGTGGAAGTTGAAGTCCAAAACACCTGGAGGGCCAAAGTTTGCCCATGCCAGCCCTAGCCAGTAAAACCAATGAAGAGGAGTTCTGGATGTTGCAGTCCAATAGCTGAAAGCAACTTGTTCTGCATCTTTGTCCTACCTGTTTTCCAGCATTGTAGTGCTACCAGCTTGGTAAAGGGAAAACTACCCCAAGGAGTGATGGATGCATCAGCACACTGTATGGTAGCATGTTTCTTAACCTCTGACCTATTCAACATGATTAATGGTCAGAGATTCTGGGAATCAAAGACTAAACATCCCAAGCAGTAAGTTGTGTAACTGTGGATTGCTATGCTCAATGAAGTACAAATTTTGTACATATTGTAATTAGTTTGGGTTCTCCGACCTTCGCCTGAAGTTCTCCAATGAGAAAGAGCTTACTATTGTACCAAGTAATGGCTTTCACTGTCAAATTGATGTTAATTCATTTCTTGTAATGTCCAAAGAAAATAATAATAATAATAACACTTTATTTGTACCCCGCTACCATCTCCCCAAGGGACTCGATGCGACTTACATGAGGCCGAGCCCGAATACAACAATACAAGCAAAACAACAACAGTACAAGCAATTAAAATAAAACATGGACAATAAAATATACAACATTATCAATAAGACAACACACAAAAACAGTGGGAAGGCCAAATGTAAAGTTAAAATGGAAATAATGCTGGGACATGGATGAAAGGGCATACGAGCAGATCTAAAAAGTGTAAAGTGCTTTGGAGGACAAAGTGCTATGGGCTCATTATTCCAGGAAGCCACACTGAGACAACCACGTCTTTAAGTTCCTCCTAAAGACTGCCAAGGTTGGGGCCTGCCTGATGTCTTTAGGGAGTGAGTTCCAGCGTCAAGGGGCCACCACCGAAAAGGCCCCTTCTCTCGTCCCCACCAACCGCGCCTGCGATGCTGGTGGGATCGAGAGCAGGGCCTCCCCTGATGATCGAAGGGATCGTACAATAATTAAAGATTATTGTAATTAAATAATTAAAGATTGTTGCTAGCATCCAATAATTAAAGATCATTGGTATAATAGAATCATGGAATCATAGAGTTGGAAGACACCTCGTGGGCCATCCAGTCCAACCTGTTGCCAAGAAGCAGGAAAATCGCATTCAAATCATAGAGTTGGATGAAACCATAAGAGCTTTCCAGTCCAACTCCCTGGATCTTTGTCTTCCACGGCATCCATTTGAAATTTCATTAAAAGTACATTACTGTACATGGAATTCTTCTTCCTCTGACAATATTTCCATTTCAAATATTCACCTCATGGTGGCACCACTATTCCAGAATTGCAAGGTTTCTTTGTTGTGAGATCCATCTTTGACCACCCCCCAAAAAACATGGTCTTGTTAAAGCCACCACTAAACAGAACAACAGCTTCCTCCGTCACACTTTAGTGCTTCTATTTAGTGCTTCTATTTAAATTATCAATGCCTCCTTAAAAGAATATATTTCATGTACCGCTTTAAAAAAAAACCTATAATACCTTGCTTTTATTTAATAACAGCAAAAATAAACACAGCTTTATTGATCAAGGGAAAAAAAACAGAATGTAGAGTTGGGGAATACCTTTCTTTAGACCAGCAAAACTGCCACAGAAGTGTTTTATTTTCGAGTTCTGGTTCATTTCAACAGGTCATGTGATACGCACTGCAAGAAAGAGGAGAAAAGTGAAACCAGATGCTGAGCCATGTGGTGCGCAGTAGAGACTCTAGATGGACTTTGCACACTATGGGTTAGTGAGCATTCCAGATATCAGATTACAAGCAGAAATGCATTTTGGGATTAAAAAGCAGCGGTCAATCTATTTGCTGGAAATAAAACCCGAGTCCTGCTCAGATTTCTTTTACCTTGCTTGAAGTGGACATATCTGATTTGATACAAGCAAAACCAAAGAAAGAATCTATACTGGCAAAGCTAGAGATTAATTTAAGTAGTGTCCTATGTCAAAAGTAGCAAGATTGTTGTATTACCTAATGGTTGGAGACAATTAAAGACTCCCTGCAAAGTCCCTTTAATATAGTATAAAATCTTGCTCCAAGTGTCATATTTTGTACTTTTTTTCATGTCAGGAGCAACTTGAGAAACTGCAAGTTGCTCCTAGTGTTAGATAATTGGCTGTCTGCAAGGACGTTGGCCAGGGGACACCCAGATGTTTTACTATCCTGTGGGAGGCTTCTCTTATGGCCCTACATGGGAAGCTGGAACTGACAGACAGGAGCTTACCCTGCTCCCAGATTCTAATCGCTGACCTTTCAGTCAGCAGTCCTGCCAGCACAAAGTTGTAACCCATTGTGTGATCTGGGGCTCCATCTTTTGTACTAAGCAGATGCATATTTATACATCTTCAAGTCACTTATTGACTTTTGGTGACCACATTACCATAATTTTACAGGGTTTTCTTAGGCAGAGAAAACTCAGAGGTAATTCTGCCAGTTTCTTCCTCTAAAACATAGATTACAGCACCTTATATCCACTGACAGTCTCCCATTCAAATACTAACCAGAGCAAACCCAGCTTAGCTTCCAATATTAGACAGGATCTGATGATTTAGCTGTTTGGAGTGTAGAGCCTAGATCAGGGGTCATCAAACTTTTTAAACAGAGGGCCAGGTCACAGTCCCTTAAACTGTTGAAGGACCGGATTAGAATTTGGAAAAAAATATGAATTACTATGCGCTCTGCACATCTTATCTGTTGTGCAAAAAACACTTTGAAACAATACAATCATTAAAATGAAGAACATTTTCAACAAATATAAAGTTATTATTATTTCAATGGAAAGTGTGGGCCTGCTTTTGGCTGAGATAGGATTGTTGTTGTTGTGTGCTTTTAAGTTGTTTCAGACTTAGGTCGACCCTGAGAGAGGGCTGGTTGAATTACCTTGGAGGGTCATATCTGCCCCCTGGGCCTTAGTTTGAGGACCCCTGGCCTATATACTCCAGAGTCCAAAATGTAGGCCCTATACTTCAAACAGCTAAGTGTTTTCCAGTCCTCATAAACTATGAAATTATGAGTCAGGCAATAGCTTTCATCTTGATGGTGAATTAGAATAATAAAATCTTTGAATGGGAAGGGGTTACAGGAGCCATCTAGTTTAATTCCACCAGGCAGGAATATACAACTGAGATCTCAATCCCAGAATCCAACAGCCTCCAAGATATTCTATTTCAGAATTTACCTTTGGAAAGTTCTTCCTAAAGTTAATTGCATTCTGTGGAACAGGGGTTTTCCTCAAACAAACATGTACTCAAAGGCAATGCCATTGATACAATATGATACCAGTCTCTGATACATATGGGGAAAAAATAAACACTGATATCTGGAGCCCACTTTAACAACAGGTGAGTAATTGTATTTTCTGGGTTGCTGTAGGTTTTCGGGCTGTATGGCCATGTTCTAGAAGCATTCTCTCCTGATGTTTCACCTGCATCTGTGGCAGGTATCCTCAGAGGTTGTGAGGTCTGTTGGAAACTAGAAAAATTGGTTTTATATATCTGTGGAAGGTCCAGGGTGGGAGAAAGAACTCTTGTCTGTTTGAGCTAAGTGTGACTGTTTCAATTGGCCATCTTGATTAGCATTTGATGCCCTGATAGTTTTTAGGTGTGACTTGTTACTGCCTGGGAAAATCCTTTGTTGAGGTGATTAGGTGTTCCTGATTGTTTCTTGTCTTGAGTTCCCCTGTGTTTGAGTTTTGTTTTTTTATTTACTGTTATAATTTTAGAGTTTTTTAATACTGGGAGCCAGATTTTGTTCATTTCCATGGTTTCTGGGTTGTTGTAGGTTTTTTTCGGGCTATATGGCCATGGTCTAGAGGCATTCTCTCCTGACATTTCACCTGCATCTATGGCAAGCTTCCTCAGAGGTAATGAGGTCTG